CAGTGACAAAGAGGTTGGGGTACTCTTGCGCTTTCACCTGCATGCAAGGAAGCATGGAAGCGAAGACAAAACGATTTAAGCATATTCATAAACGTCATAGAAGTCGCACCTGTAAGAGAGGAAAGAAGTATGAAAGAAGCATGAAAGAAGCATGAAAGAAGCATGAAAGAAGGATGAAAGAAGCATGTTCCTTTAGAAAGAATTTTGGCATTACTGAAATGACTGCGAGGCATAGGGCCTCGACATGCCCTACAGGGCCTATTTGGGGTCACCACACAACTGAGGAAATTCAGGCAGTTGCGCAGCGCCCGTTGGTTGGAAGCGCCCAGGCCCAGGCTGCCTTCCATTGCATGTAACTGAGGCAGGCCCTGGGCCGGATACACAAAGTGGACCGAACAAAGGCTGAGGGCAGTTGGGTGCTGGTAACCGACACAGGCCCTGCGCCTGTTACTTGGGACTGAGGCTCAGCCTCGTGGGGCCTACCGGAAGCTTCTGGTGCAGGGCCCAGTACCTCACGAATGCACGCAGCAGCAGGCCACTTCGATATAGGGAAGGGCCTGCCTCCGCATTGGACATTCGGGCACTGGCTGCTTTGTGCGCAAGCGCTGCTGCGCTATCGCCTGCCAGGCTCACGCGCTCACGGGCGAGCTGGAAGGAGCAGGCAGCCATAGCCGAGCTGCGCTGCTGTATGCTGGATGGGGCGCATGGTGGTCCTTGGGTGCATGTGGCATCTGTGAGTTGGGGAACGAGGTTGTGAGTGGTACGAAAGACATACCTGGTGCTTGAGGCGACGGCATTGTCCAAGATCTGCTCGTACGTCGGTGAAACTGTTGACGTCATCGGCGGCATTGTAGAGTAGGCTAGATAGGATCTGCCTTCTGTAGTCTGGGCGCCGAGCGCCAGATAGGATATCGGACATTGGTTCTTCGTTGATGATGATGATGAGACTACTTCAGCATTGTCAATTATGAGCTTCTGCTGTGTTCTTATTTGGTGAAATTCGTGATGCAATTCTGCTTTTGGTTCGAGGTCACGACTATCTGGCCTCATGTGTATGATGCTGTTTCATTTCAGAAGTTCACTATTGCTCATCTTCCGTGCATGATGTTTAATGAAACCCAATTCTCAATGCTCAGCGTTCAGAAAAAAAAAAAAAAAACACTTGTGTGCAGTTTACACATGAAACTCAGGAAGGACGAAGATAAAGGACGAGGAGAAGAGAAGATGATCGATGAGAGAAACAGGAATTTTGTTCATATTCACACATTACAATCACCAAACTTCTCCCTCTTTTACTCCGGTTACTTCTCTCCCAACCACCTCCCATTCTCTTCTCGCCAAAGAAGTCTCTCTCAAACCAACGCCCAAACATCTTTTGTCTCGCCACTCTCGTCACAACACCTCCCTCTCTCTCTCTCTCTCTCTCTCTCTCTCTCTCTCTCTCTCTCTCTCTCGCTCTCTCTCTCTCTCTCTCTCTCTCTCCATGCCAGATTTCATATATATTACTACATAACCATTCCAAAACAGGGCATGAGTTCGAACCCTGATCA